AGAATGCCAATTTAATAGAAGAAAGTATTCTTGCATTGAGGGAGTACTTGAGTGGAGGCCCAATGTCCTTCTGCTACCTTAATACTAGCCCTATAAATATATGCACATAGGTCTATTTCCGCATCCTCATATATAAATATGTTTGCATATGTACATGTCTTTATGTAGACCTCTAATTCCCTTTGCCTCCCAGCTCTTTCCTCTATTTCCCTTGACTTTCCTAGTGCACTTTCAGAATCAGTGTCCCTTTCTCACCCTGACTAGCAGACTATCCTTGGCTGGATTTCATAACTATTATTCATGTGTCTACTCATCTGGGAAATGGAATGATAGTACTAGTAACTTTACTAAATTATTCTGGGGATTCCATAAACAAAGCAGGTCAATCACTGCCCCCAGTTCCTGGCATATACCATAAACTCAGCAAAGAATGCATCATTTTAGATTGTGTCAGTCTGGTGGAAAGTGGAGCACTTGTGGTTTGAATTTACATGTATTTGAGTATGTACAAAGGTAGAAGACACTTACACTGACTCAGTGGGCACATGCTCTGCTGCTAACCGAGTGGTTCGAACCCACCAGCCCCCACAGGAGGAGGATGTGGCTGTCTGCTTCTGTACTGATTACAGCCTGGGAACCCTACGGGGCAGTTCTGTTCTGTCCTGTAAGGTTGCATGAATAGGAATATATACTCTTTGGATCACATCAGATTTAATATCATCATGAAAAGCTTAAACTATGCATGTTTTTGACTGAACAAAGTGAACAGACACTTGGATGGAATACTTGGCGTGTCTCAGGAGTAGGTCTGGGTTCTCACATAGGAGTACATTTGCTCAGTTAGTTCTCCCAGCATCCAGATTGCAATCCAGCTATTTTTAGCCTCCCCTTAGCAGGTACAGAGGGAAGGCGTGGTGAGCTTGTCAACCTGCTATAGGTCACATGTCCAGGAGGTAGCAGAGCTGGACCTTGAAGTTGGGACTGGGTACTCAGAGGCTGGTTTCCTTCTGCCGTGTCAGAGATGCCTGCAGTGTTGTTAGACTGTAGCTCTCTTTACGCTTGAATGTATAAAAAGCTTAGATTCAGCTATCAGTGATTATACATGATTAAAGAGCAGAAATGTGTGGCATTGATGTAATTAAGGATCAGATGTCTATACCAATTAGTGTGTTGGACTTGTTAGAAAGTGTTTCGTAAAGACTTCTTGTTTGTGATATTGTAAATTGTGATAAACCGATATAAATGTTGGCCTGCTGCTTCCCCAAATTATCACACATTCCAAGGATCTGGGTGATTGAACTTTTACTATAAAATAGGAAAAGATTTTGCCTCTATTTTCTGTCAGAATTTCATGGAAAGGGGACTGTTTACAGTATCTGGCATCGTTGTAATTAGCATATTATAAGTACTATATTAATAATGATATATAAAGTATGTACATGGATAGGTAATGATTCATAAGAGCACTTGTGAGGACGGCACTGTTTCCTTCTGATGCACATAGAGTCGCTATGGCTGGAAGGCATCTAACAGCAGCAGCAACGATACATAGCATACTATGATTTTATTTATTTTATTTGCTTTTTCGGTTAAAGCTGCAATGTCAGTGATGTTGCACAGATGACTGGCCATGTGTGTTTCATAAGAATTTGAGTGATAAGTGTAATCATGGAGATTATTTGTCTCAGGTGTCAACATGAAAACTTAGTAGAACTCCTTGGTTTCTCGAGTGATGGTGATGATCTCTGCTTGGTCTATGTTTACATGCCCAACGGCTCATTGCTCGACAGACTCTCTTGCTTGGTAAGATGTTTGTTCTTCAAATTATCTTCTGTGTCAGAATACTAACACTCAGTCGATGATGGGATCATTTCAACCACATTACACTTCATATTTCCCATTCTCTCAAAACTATACAGCTGATACAACTAAGACTTCCATTCTCTGAATTAAGGATCTAACTTGTCAAATGATTAGTCAAGGCGAGACTTTGGAGATCCTCATACAGTTGTGTCTGTAGATGAGCAGGAGTGATGGGGCGCTCCTATGTGAGGAGCCTGGTGACAGTGTGCGTTATAGCCATTGCACTGCTAACCACAAGGGCTCAAACCCACGAGCCTCTCTGGGGGAGAAAATGAAGCTGTCTGCTCCCAAGAAGACTGACAGGCTGCTCGGAGTCAGTGTTTACTCCCTGGTCGTGGGTTTGTTTTTGTTTTTTTAAAAATGTCATTTAAAGTTTATTTCTGACAACTTAAAAGTAAATTAGGGCCTAAGTTCATGATTAACATTAAGAAGTAAAATCTGTGAAAGAAAAGCCTGTCATAAGCAGAAACTTCCCAGAGAAGGAAATCACAAATATTTTACCCTAAAAGGAGGGGGAGAAAAGTGGTGTCTCTCCCTGTCAGAAGCGGAGAACTTGTGAGATGCGGAAACAGAAGACAGCTCTTCAGGCTCCGGCTTTCACAAGTTTCTCTGTAATGCCGTTTTCACTTGTTGCTGCAAAAGATTTGGGGGTATATATTTTCCATAGATGTGTCTTCTCTTTTTTAAAATGGTCTGTGTGTTTTTCATAAGGAGGGCACTCCGCCCCTTTCTTGGTATATGAGATGCAAGATTGCTCAGGGGGCAGCTGACGGCATCAATTTTCTACATGAAAACCATCATATTCATAGAGATGTTAAAAGGTAATTGATACCCTTTAAAAGGTCTCAGAAAACCATCTTTTGAGGATGGTTGAGGATGCCCTGCCTCCTTCAGTTCACTCTTTATCTGGTCACCTGGCAGCTGTACTTTCTCCCTAATTTCTCCATGAAAACTCTGTTCACTAAGGACATTCATGTTCTCCTTAACTGCTACTCAGTGACCCGTTTTCTTTACCCACCAGACTCGTCCTGTGTTTGGGGTTTGCTTGCTTTTTGAGAACAGACACTGCAAAGCCTACAGCAGTTCCTACAAATACCCTTCAGGGCCACCGACCACGTGCTTCCAGCCATGCAACCAGTCTCAGCCTCCTTTTCTGAGCCACTCATTCCTCCGCCATCGACCCAACTTGTTGCTTCCCATTTCCTCTTTCCAGCTGCTGTTGCCATTTTGATCTCATGAAGTTCGTTCTTATCCTTGCCCTGCTTTAAACAGCACGTTATTCCATTCTTCCTGATCACCTCTGTCTGACCAGAATTCTTTCATATCTTACGTTCGGGGTCACCACTCTTCTCTGAATTGCCTTGATCTTTCATGAATATTCTCAGTGTTTTGTTTTTATATTAATTACTCATACTGGTGAGTTAACAGCTATTTATTAAGCCCCTCCTCTTTGCTCGGAACACTGGATGATTTGTTACCAAAGGTAGCATTTATGGGGTTTGCTTTCAGGCAAATGGTCACAAAACTATGTATGATAATAAGCAATGAGAAATGTTAGAAAGAAGAGTGATCAGTCTTGTAAGCTTATAATAAGGAGTTCTATAACTAGTCATTAGGGTCAAGAAGCTAGATTCAAATTATGAGCAGGAAATAGATAGACACAATTTGAGGGTAGCCATACAAGATGGGAGAACATTCTAGATAGAGGGAACCACAATTAAAAGATTAGCGGTGAGATAGGATATAGAAGCATAATGAACTATAGAAAATAAAATAATTACATATGACAGAAATGCAAAAGATGAAGGCACAATGATTAATGTCAGATAGCACTAGAGGCAAGCAGAGAGCTAGGTCCACAGGGCCTTAGAGACCAAGGTGAGAGTTTGCTCTTATATACGTCCAGTAGATGCCATTGGGAAATGGTTAGTAGGAAAATGGGAGCGTATTTAGGTTTTGAGAAGATCGTTCTCTTGAATGGAGAAAACGGTTTGTTAGAAGAGGTGTTTTGGAGGCTGCCGCTGGTGGCAGTTCATCCACAGAGGGAGCAGGTGGGAGCGTCTAAGAGGGCAGGATTTGCCGATCTTGGCTGTGCAGAGGTCAGGGAAAGGGAAGTGTCAGGACTTGCTTCTGGATTTCTGACTTCTCAAATGGCCAGATTCTCTGATGCAGAAAGCATTGAGAGAGTACCACATTCAGATGCCGATGGGTGATCACAAGTTCTCTTTCTTATATTTTTTGAATTTGAGGTGCTTTTAAGACAAAGCTGTAGAGATGTTAAACAGGAAGTATGATGAATAGGTCTGGGGCTCAAAGAAATAGCTGAAGATAGATGTTTATGTATTATTTACACGTAGGTTAACACTGAAGAGATACTATTGTTGCATTAATTAAAGAGGGAGGGATGGAGACTAAGAAAAAGCTCCAGTGTTAAGATGTGAGGAACCCTCAGACTTACTGGCCAAATAGAAGAGAATGAGCCCCAAAAGTCACCCAAGATGAGCACCAGTGAAGTGTGGCATCCCCGAGGACAATGAAGAGAGGGTGTTTCCCAAGAGGGAGTCCTCAAAAGAGTGAAGCTTACTTGAGGTTAGAATGAAGACTGAAAATCCATCATTTGATTAGTGCTGTGGCTCTATGGAGACCAGTTTCTCAACTTCCCATCAGAAAACCCGAGTTCAGTTCCCCGCTAGTCTGGGCAGCCACTGAAGGCTCTCGCGTAGCATGCTGAGCAGGTTTCAGTAAAGCTTCCAGCCTAGGGAGATCAGCCTGGCTATGGAGTTTCAGCCAACAGACCGTGGATCACAGCGGTCTCGGTCCTCACCTGATCACGGGGACCATTCAGAATCGACCGTTGTGCATGGAGTGACTGGGAGTTGAGCGCGCACTTGGCAGCATCTGGCAACAGCAGCATGTCATGCAAGGGTTCAATCAGAAGCCAGGTTGTAATTAAGGGAGAGAGTGGGAGCTGAGGAGCTAAGATGTGAGTATTGACAAGTCTTTTTAATATATTTAGCTAGTAAAGGGTGGTAGCTAGAAATAGTTGTGTTATTCAGAACACATTTTTTAACATATCAAATATAAAAGCATGCTTATGTTGCCTATGGGAATGATTCCGAGAGGACAGAGAGGGTACTACAAAAGAGAGAAATGGGATAATGTCTAGAACAAGGTTCCTGAGAATGTTGGAGGGAGCCCATGTAGAGGGATGAGTCTCAGAGAAGGGGGCGGGGAGGCACCCCTTGAAGACCTTTTAGCCATAATCATGCCTCTTCAAAAACATTTTGATAGTGCAGTAAAGGAGAAAAGGGATCATTTTTAAAAATAAATATTTGATATACTTTATTTGGAAAAAACGGTTTTAAATGAATGAGAAATGTTAGGAAGGTAATCAAAAATAATGGTTTAGAAAACCTTGAGGGAAATTTCCCTATAAAGATTATGAAAATAACTCTTTATTACTATTACCAGTTTTTTTTCATTTCTACTTTTTTTTTTTTTTAGAAATAAAAAGTAAAGGAAGAGAACTATTTCTTTTGAGCTGTAGTCTGGATTCTGTATTCATTTGCACAACTCTCAGGCTTTAATGATGCATACCCTAAAATATAAATGTTCACATAGTTATATATAGATAGATAATGCTGCTTGGCTTGCTTATGAAGACAATTTCTTTTCCCCAAAATTTTAATTTTTTTTCAGTGCAAATATATTACTAGATGAAAAGTTTACAGCCAAAATATCCGACTTTGGACTTGCGCGGGCTTCTGAGAAGCTTGCGCAGACCATCATGACGAGCAGGATCGTGGGAACAACAGCGTATATGGCCCCTGAAGCTTTGCGAGGAGAAATCACACCCAGATCTGATATCTACAGCTTTGGTGTGGTAAGTCTGATAGAAAAGGTTGGTAATGAGATGAATTCTGGTCTGAAGTTGGGTATTATTAAACACACTTGCACTGCTTAGCTCCCTTGGGAAGACATGGCAGAAGGTTCATTTTGGCTTTTACTGAGAACAAGGTTTAGGAAAAACTTCTTGTATTTAAAACTTTTGCACTGTTATCTGAAAACAGCACAGGAAGAGACTTCTTGCCACCCATTCTTCATGCATGGGTACATCACACAAATATGTCAGTGGATTAAATCATGTCAGATAGTACCACCTCACTCTCACATTTGTAAATGAAACGTTTTGGTTTCTTTGGTTTTTCTCCATTTCAATGCATCTTGCGATCGCCAGTCTGTTCCTGTCAAGTAGTACTGCCGAGGAAGGCACAGGGAGATAGGATGCACTTAACTTCCTTGTGGTTGATAACCGCCACTGAGAGTTTTCACTGGCTGATCTTGGGAACTAGACTCAGGCTTTTCTTCCTGGTCCATCTTGTTCAGAAAGCTCCACTGAAACCTGTGCGACATCCCTTAGAAAATGATATGCTTGTGAAGAAAATTTTTCTTGTAGAGAATTCCCAGTATGACAGAAAAAGGACTCCTGGGAATTTCCAGAATCCAAGTTGAGTGGAGCTGAGTCTTTACTAAGTTGCTGCATACAGAGCTGTGTATGAGGGGGGTGGAATCCAAGATGGTCTGGAAGAAAGGTGGTGTGCAGTGCCCTCAGCTCGTGTTCTTTCTGCTGTGATACCTTAAAGGCATCACACGCTTAACAAGATCTGTGTTTCTTCTAGGTTCTCTGTATGGTCCTGTGTGTTAAAGAGGGTTTTCTCTGGTTATTGCCTTATATCCATAGGTTTTACTGGAAATAATAACTGGCCTTCCAGCTGTGGATGAGCACCGTGATCCCCAATTATTGGTAATTGTATACTTTTCCAACCTTTTCTCTTTGTATTGATGGTCTAAATGCATAAGGTAAGCTTGGCACCTAGAAAGAGCATCTTTATAGGCATTCTTTCCATTTGCAATGACATGGCGATGTATGGAAAGGGTATTCAATATTTCTCATCTCAGCTCTGCCGTGAAGTATTTGTGAACCTTAATATATCACTTATATACAAGGGGATAACAACAACAACAAAAAAAACAACGGATTTTCTTTTCAAAGCTATGTATTTAATATTTTTTACAAAACAGCTCTATCACCTCCATTACACTTAATAGATTTGTCAAATCTGTAAGTCCATTATTGGAAACATTTTTCAAACTTCTCTGTTTGCATGGCCAGAGCCCCTTCCTTGCTTTTTCTTCACCTCTGCTATGTCGTCAAATCTCTGTCCTTTCGTGTCCCTCTTCATTCGCAGACATAAAAAGGAGTCCACGGAGTCAGGTCAGGGGAGTAAGTGCGTGAGGCAAAAACTGGTGCACTGAGATGGCTGTGTGAGCAGGTGCATTGTTGTGGTGACATAATCAGTGCTCCATCTGCCACAAATCAGGATTTTTTTGTCGCACACTGTTATGCAATCTTTTCAGAACCTCTAAATAGAAAGCTTGATTAACAGTCTGACTTGGTGGATGTGTTAGTCTGGGTAGACTAGAGAAACAAATCCATAGAAATGTGTATAAGAAAGAGGTTTATACACAAGAGCAATTGAATATTGAGAAAACATGCCCGCCCAGTCCAGATCAAGTCCATAAGTCTGCTACTAGGCCATATGTCCAATACCAATCTATAAAGTCCTCTTCCGAGTCATGAAACACATGCAATGATGCCAAATGCAGGAAGATCACAAGTCAGTGGGTAGGATGTCTTGTGGATCCAGTAGCACTGTAAGCATCTCAGCGCTGGCAGTGCGTCCTCCAGCTCCCAGGCTATAGCTTCATGTGGCTTCTCATCAGAAATGTCTCGCAGAGATTGAGCCAAGAGAGAGAGTCTCCCACCTCCAAGGAGGAATAGTGGAGTTACCAGAATCCTCAGGAGAAGGCCATGCCCACACAGAGGCCTCATTGGCTATCACCTGATTGACAGGCTAGATTCCACCCCTTCACTCGTAATCCTCTCAAATTGACAAGCGATTGTGTAACTACCACAACTGCACATTTACTATGAGTTGACATTTTCATTCCTTGGAGAAGTTGACGGACGTCCAGAATGAGGTTTTTTATCAATTGACATGTCACCTTTTAGGGAAATGAGAAAACCACTTACACCCTTGGGTTTTTCCCATAGTGCTTACCTTATAAGGTGTGTTCAACATCACAACAGTTTCTGCGGCATTTTCCCCAATCAGCAGGCAAAATTTCAGAGCCATGC